AAATACATATGCAAAAAACACTGAAAATTAAAATTTGAAGGAAGGGAGGAAGAAAGAGAAAAGGGGGCATGGAATGTGCCTGTCCAGGAAAATTAGCCTGAACATAATTGTATATATGAAATAATGCCCCGGGGTCTGAAGTTAAGGCTGAGTTTTCATTCGACAGATTGGTCAGTAAACATTGTGGATGGTTTTTTGACTGTGAGAACAATCTAATTCTGGAAACATAACTGATTTCAGCATCAGAAAACTCTGCCTTAATGATCTGCCACATGATTTACTTTGTGCTGTTGCCATGTGGTTACTTTTGTTCCCATGTGACATTTTCATACTTGTGTTTTACACTGAGTTTTGTACCACAAGGATTGTATTTTTATTATTTACTAATAGTCAGGCATAAAACTGTATGAGTACTGTGTGTTAAACAATTATGTTTGAGGGCATCCAAGAATGCAAACACTCCTTATAAGATGTTACTTGTTATTTTACAAGTATGTTAGCTTCAAGCAGGATACTAGCTGTAATACTAAGGAATTAAGACTGGGAAGGAGTGATTTGTTGGAGGTTTTGCTGAAATATAAAGAAGATTCTGTGGTTAAAGGTAATACCTGGATCCTAAAGGGTTGTAGAGAATGTGTAGGGCAGAAATTATACTTAGATCCACAACATTTGACAAAACAAAGCTATACAAACACAGTGATGGAGGAAGCTTAGCAACTGTGTACAGGAAAAAAACTGAAGGGTATTAGGTACCATAAGGCAATGGTGTGAAATCAATTCTAAAATTATTTTGATATCGAGCTGCGTTAATATAGTAACTACAATAAGAAAAGGCCAGAATTGACTTTATTCCATGCTGATCATTATAGAATTTAGATCAAGGGGCATAGGCAAACTGGAACACATTCAGAAAAGAGCGTCTAGCATGATAGATTTTCTTTTTTAATGGAGAATATAGCAGAAGAAACAAGAGTATGGTTTGGAGGAAAGAAGACTTAAAGGAGCATGATAGTTACAATAGTTATGATGTTTGTCTGCCATAGTAAGAGAAAAAGCATTTCTAACTGGCTTCAATAACAAACAACTTATGGGTTTATGTAACTCAAAAGTTCTAAGACAAGTTGGGGATTTTATTTGAGGCTCAATCTAGTGGCTGTTTTGGCCAAAAATGGTTACTCTCTACTTTCTTTGGGTCAGGATATTTGCTGGCAACAGTCCAGGCAGTGTGCTTCTTTCATGTCAAGTGAGAGCCTGAAAAACCTTTTTCTTCCTATATAGTTCATTGAAAGAAAGAGTAATTTTCTTTTCCTAAATCCCTAGGAAATATCTCTTATATCTAACTGGCTAGAATTGTGACATATGCCAGTCTCTGAACAAATTATATAGGCTTGGAGATGGTATGTAAATTAGGATGGCTAATCACAAATCTACATCTTTTTTTTAAAGTTTATTTATTTATTTTTGAGAGAGAGAGAGCACATAGAGGAGGGGTAGAGGGAGAGGGAGACAGAGAATCCCTAGCAGGCTCCATACTGTCTGTGCTGAGCCTGACACAGGGCTCAGACTTACGAACTGTGAGATCATGACCTGAGCCAAAACCAAGAATTGGATGCTTAACCAGCTGAGCCACCCAGGCGCCCCCACAAATCTACATCTTGAGCTAAGATACTACGTCTGTCAAGATTCTCAGGAGAAATAGAATCAGCAAAAGATACCCACATACACACACACACACACACACACACACACACACACACACTTACATATATTGTATTATATATTGATATATATTATAATTTATAGACTATACATAAAATATATTTTTATATATAAATTGTGTGTGCAAGTATATTTATTTTGAGAGAGAGTGCATGTGTGCAAGCAGGGGAGGGGCAGAGGAAGAGGGAGAGAATCCCAAGCAGGTTTCACCCTGTGTGCAGAGCCTGCCGCAGGGCTCAGTCTCACACCTGAGTGGTCACCACGTGGGATGATATTAAGATTTGGTCACTTGAGCAACTGAGCCACCCAGGCTCCCCCAAAGTGAGCTGATTATTAACCAAATCTACAAACTACCTGCACAGCAACACCTTGATTATTGTCTGATTAAATAACTGGGTACTGTAGCCTAGCCGAGTTGACACATAAACCATCATAGATATAATGAGTCTCTTCCAAAATACATGGCTGAAATTTTGAGGTCCTGTTGAAACAGAGATTGGCAACTAAGAGGTAGCCAACAAATATCCCTTACAATGACCAACAGAAGAAATGTAAAAGGCTTCCATGGTTGTGAGTTTTCAATTGTTTTACATAGACTGACACCAAGAGGAAAAAATGTAGAAATAGTGAGGAAACAGCTATCAACTAAAAAATAACTAAGAAAACAGTAGTGAGTTCTTATTATTGGCACTGTTCAAACACGGACCAGGGGATTGTGGTGTAAGGCCTTAAAATAAAATCCCAATATTATGTGTTCTTGACATCTGAGGAAAACTAGGAGATCCTCCAGTGGACCAACCAAAAATTGTCCTCCCCACTGTGCTCCCACAGATAAAAGTCCCTGAGCCAAATGACCCTTGTTAACAACATCTGCTTATCATTGAAAAGCAGGTTTCAGTTCCCTGCCCATGGAATTACTCAGACAAGACAATCACTTTCATGGGAACGAAGGGCCACTGCTCTTTTGTTAGTATAAAACCTGCATCCTACAGCCTCTCCCTGCCCATTCTGTCTGTGAGTACAACCCCCTTGTAGCCATGCAGGGCACATGCTGCCCTCCTCCCCTGGGCTGTAAGTGTGTGTGATTAATAAACTGTCAATCTCATCTGTCCAGTGGTCAGGTGCCATATTTCAAGCAATGAATGTCCATAATCCTAGAATGGGAATCCTTCCCTCACCAATGGGGTGAACGGGAGGTGGCTAAAAAATAACTGCCCCCCCCCCCCGAACCCAGGCCATTCAACTGTGATAGTGGAGAGGGAAGAGATTCAAACATCAGTTAAATAATTGGAATAAGTGATTTGTGAGTTGCTTTTCAATCCCATGATTCTATTTTTTGTGTTCCCGGTATTAGTATTAGCATTCATTTTATATTTTCCAAAGACAGACATAACAATCCATCTTTCTACGATTAGCCCCCATCAGGTTGTTTCACAGACTATTCATTTGTACATTTCTTCCTCTCATTTCAAAGCTCAGAAAGCCATGCTTTATTAATTTTTACATACCTTCAATTAACATAATGCCTGAGAGATAGCAGATATTCAATGAATTTTTGGGGAGTGAATCTGAGAATCACTTTCTCCATTCGAATTTGGGAAAAAATTACCAATGAGCAGTGAAATTGTCCTTAAACATAACACATAAGTAAACATTATAAATACGAATTCCCCAACACTGTTGAAATCCAAATTCACCCTATCCACCTGTAGATGGAGGGAATGAGGTCTTGGGAGAGTTGCCATTTTTTTTCTCTTCTCATTCCCCATCCAAATTGCATACCAGTTGCCCTAAGGCTTCCGAAGAACCCTGCAGGCAGCATCTCACTTTGTGTAGGAAGGAGAATTAGTATAGCTGCAAGGTGATCCCAACTTCTTGCCTGTCTGTTGATTTTGAATGCTCCATTGATTTCAAAATCCCTGCTGAAAGCTAAAACATGCTTCTGCAAGAAGGTATTTATTTTAAGCATAGTTTCATGCTTCAAGTATGCAGCTACACAGTACCCCTATCCTAAATTATGGGAAAAATATGGAGAAAGCTAAAATGCTTTGCTTGAAGATGTTTGACATATCTTTTTTCTGTGATCTCTACTTTATTATTTGTTGTAATTAAATTGGCTTACTCAAAAAATTTTTCCAGTTTTATTGAGATAGTAATGCATATAGCACTGTATTAATTTTAAGGTGTACAGTGTAATGATTTGACCCACATATATTGTCAAATGATTACCATGATAAGTTTAGTTAACATCCATCATATGTATTCACTTTATTTATCTGGACATTTCTACCTTTTAACCACCTTCATCAAATTCTCTTTTTCCCCATCTCCTACCTCTGGTAATCACAAATCTGATCTGCCTTTTTTTTTTTTTTTAATCAATTTGGCTTTTTTCTCTCTCTCTCATTTTTTAAGATTTCACATGTGAGATCATATAGTATTTGTCTTTCTCTGTCTGATTTATTTTACTTAACATAATGCCCTTAAGGTCCATATATGCTGTCACAAATGACAGGACTTCCTTCCTCTTTTGTGGCTGAATAATATTCCTGTGTGTGTGTGTGTGTGTGTGTGTGTGTGTGTGTGTGTGTGTGTGTGTATGTGTATGCAGCTTCTTTATTCATCTTTTGGTGGACACTTAAGTTGTTTGCATGTTCTGGCTATTGTAAATAATGCTGCTATGAAAACGGGGGTGCACATATCTCTTGAACAGAATGTTTTCATTTCCTTTTGATATATTTACAGAAGTGGAATTGCTGGATCCTATGGTAATTCTATTTTTAATTTTTTGAGCAACTTCTGCATTGTTTTCCATAGTAGCTGCACTAATTTACATTCCCACCAACAGTGCACAGTTCCCTTTTCTCCACATCCTCATCAGCATTTGTTATCCCTAAATTTATTCTTTTGATAAATGATATGTGCTTTTTTTTCCTAACCTATAGATTTAAGATTTATTTGTTTTAAGAAAAAAGTGAATGACCTGATCTGACAAAGGGATTTTGCAAATTCAGTGACTTATTGTATACCTTCACATAGGTATACAATAAATTACATTTATTAGCAAAACTAAAATTACATTAAATCACCTCTGGTGTTGAAACCAAGGATGTAAAGTTTCCATTTCCAAATGTCTTTATGTAGTACTAAACATGTGGTTGGTATAAATATATATTGGTTAAATAAGCTAATAATAGGATACACTTCGTTTCATTGATCATAGACCTTAAGAATTTAATATAACAGAAGTCTTTTCTCCCATCTCCTGGGTTTATTCACAGTAAACAGATCCGAGCTATGCTAGGCCAGTTCAGCCAGGCAGAAGCCTTATTAATGAAAGCTGGAGTGCAGCCAGGGACTTTGGATGGAGTTCTTTTGGATCTTGGGTGTTCCTCCATGCAACTTGATGCTCCTGAAAGAGGTTTTTCCCTTCGGAAGGACGGCCCCTTGGACATGAGAATGGATGGTGGCAGGTGAGTATTGATAAAGCATTTCTCCTCACAACAAGAAATCAATTTTGCAAAAACACCCTGAATTTAATTTCCTTTTAAGACTGCAGAATTCCCATCACACGCCCTCACCTAACACTATCCATACATAATAAATCAGTTTTGTTTGCTACTCATTATAGACTTTAGTGTTTCTCTAGGTTTGAGATTCTAAAAGAAAAATCATTGCTGTCTTTACACAAAATAGTGAGGAGGATAACTTTCATACTAATTATCTTTTTTATAGATACAATATGGGCTTTTAGACTGCTTACAATATTGATTAATGTGAATCTGAAACAATGGATCCATTTTTATGCAGGCCCAACTATTCCTCTTGTGAGATGTAAAAGGAACTCTATTTAACACATATTCTTTTGAGTCCTGCATGAAATGCAGGATTCTAGGGGTCAGTGATTGTGTGTTTTGTGCTGTCTCTTGTATAGTCACTTTTATTTAACATTCTCCAGGGAAATTACAGTTTGTGGTACTGTATCCACATAGTACTATATATATGACAGCTTTACACCTCCTGTTCATTCCTCACCACCATGGAAATACTAGTTTGTTCTCCATTATTCCATTATTCAAATAGGTACATTTGAACACAATGAGGCTCACATTCTAGTAAAGTGTAGGATAAGTTCTTTTAAATCCAAATTAATTTGTAAAGCTTAGATTAGCACTTGTCTTTATGCCTAACACTGGCTTAGGGACTGAACAGCCTGTTCCTACAAAGCTTAACCATGTTTTTCTCATTTCATGTCCCACCACCACTGCCAAATTATGTATCATGGCCCCTACCTTTGGGAACCTTATCTTCTAAGAGAAATGTTAGATTTTCTTATATCTGAATAAGCAAACCATTCTGTTACTCTTACTAATCTGCAATTCTAGACCTGCATAAACATTTCTACTGAGACAAACAGGTTTTCCAAAATTTCTTACAGTCTATTCAAAGGACCTATATATAAGAAATTTAATGTCCAATTCAAGTCAGCAAATTCATATTGAGTTGACTTTGACTTCTTTTCCCACAAACTTCTTTGTCCAATGCTAATTATTCACAGATAGCCTTTTCCCCATGTTCTGATATGACCTAGTAACTTGGATTGTGACCCATACTTGCTGGAACCTTTTGTTCTGAGTCTTATACCATCTTTTTCCCAAGTTGGCATTCATTGAATGAAGAATGTGGTCATAAAAGAAAATAATGAAAATCCTTTAAAAAGCAGTGACTAATAGTAAAGGTCAAATATCTTTTCATGTTTGGAGATTGAGGTTGTTGTGCAGAGGTAATAAAATGTCAAGCAAATTTCTGCTGTTCCTATGTCTTGTTAAGGAGGATGCCTTCTGAAATACAATGGACAAAGCTTCTAGTTAATGGTAGTAAATCCCCATATTGTTAATGTAAAAACTTCTCAGCAAATTGTAGTTGTGAATCAGGGTTCTTGAGGTTTTCCCCTAAGAACCTGAAAATAAAATTTTCCTTAAACATTAAACTCTAAGTCAATACATAATGGATGAGATTTGAGTTTAGCAAATATATCTTAGAAAGCAGGGTGGCTTCCAGGTAGATAGCCCAGACTGTATAACCTAATCAAAGATATTAACAGATCTGAAGAAAGTATATGGCATTCAGAAAAAGGGAGTTCATTCACATGAATTCATAGAAAAGGAGAATCATGGTAAATATGTGCAATGTTTACCCAAGTGGTGTCATGGGGAGAGGGAGGCCACACCAAAAAGTATGGCCAGTCAGATCCTGGAGGCTGATATATCTGTGGTGAAGGTGGACACAAGAGACTTTCTTAACCTGTTCCATTTATCACTAGAATCTTACAGCATAGTTTAGTTAGTTCACAGCTTCAAGTACTTGTAGGTCTAACTGTTGTTAGTTGTATTCTTCCCTGGAAGTTAATAAATAAATTTCCACTTATGTTAATATTTTCTTTCTGTTAATGTAGTCATTTTAAATCTCTGGAGAACCGTTAAAATCTCTTACCTGTTAAGTTGGGGGGTGGGGCAGATTTTGACTTTTTCATTATGAATGCCTACCCTGATGTGTCTGCTAGTAGCCTGTCAGCTTTTCATAGCGTTGCCCCTTTTGTCTTGTGGAACAATGGAAACTTGTACATTGCTATTCAATGTTAGAATGAGAGTAAAATAAAATTATGCCCATTATTCACTGAACTCTATTTGAGCAAAATGCTGTTTTAATTGTCTCACTTAAAAGTAGAAAGGTATTATAAAGAACTGCTAAGTCCATCTATACTAATCTTAGAGTTGTCCTGGTAGAGCTGGACCTTGTCCCTTGGGTCTGATTTAACCATCATTAATAAGGTTTATCTTGATGCTCAGTGGTTTTGGGCAGTTGAATGCACAACTAGGTAAGATCTAGCAGGGATTTTGTCAATGAGGCCAAGAATGATGATGGGAAAATTTAGGAATGGGCAAGATCTAGGGGACATGCACATTCATTGACCTCCGTGTGCCAGACATTCTACTATCTGCTTTACAGCTGCATGCACCCTTAATTCTCCCAACAATCCTATAAGTAAAGCATGGTTACTTTCATTTTACAGGTTAGAAATTGAGGTTTCAGTAAGTTAAAAGTCTTACTCAGTGTGAATAGCAAGTCAGGTATTCTAATCTATGTTGATCTGACTCCTCCTCGTTGTTGTTGTTGTTGTTATTATTATTATTAGCAGAACAAAGCCTATTGAGATGGAAACAGGACTACCTTACAGGATGTTCATTGGTCTGGGGGTGTCATGGCAGCTAAAAAAAAAATGAGGCAGATCTGGAAAGCAATGTTGCGCGCTCTCTCTCTCTCTCTCTCTCTCTCTCTCTCTCTCTCTTTCTCTCTCTCACACACACACACAGTGAGAGACAGAGAGAGTGAGAGCGAGAGAGAGAGAGAGAGAGAGAGATCATAACAAAATAGGGGACAAGCCATTCTCCTGGAGGCACTAGATATGTTAACAAGGCTCAGGTTATTATTTTTAAGAAGGGATTTTCAGGTGTTTCTTTACAACCCCCCTCTTAGGCCTTAAAGCTCTACCATATCCTTATTACTTAAAGTCCTCACAGTGTGATACTGGCAATCAATCCAACGTATTAATTACAGGAGTAGTAACAATACTGTTAACAAAGCTGTCTTACCAATAAGTTCTCGGTTTGTTCATCATTTAGAATTCCTTGGCACATTTCCCTAAAGGAAAGTAAACTGCAATGGTCTGACAGAGTGAATGCTGTTTCCTACTATGTGATCTGTTCTGTTTGGCTAGAGGTTTTCCTTTGTCTCCACCACCTAAAATTATTGTCTTAGGCTTAGTACTGTTAAGGCTTTAGTACTGTTTAGTACTAAGTTTAGTACTAAGTACTAAGTTTAGTACTTAGGCTTTAGTACTGTTTCTTGATTACTAAGTTTTACCCCATGGTGACTGTAGTCCTGAGTTTATAAGCCAATATCGTTAAATATTTGAAGTAATATACATTATTGTCATTAAGATTGTTCAGTTTTTTGTGAGGGAAACTGACTGGGAGTACCTTCTTGTATAGACTTTCTAAATTCAATTTGTGCTCCCATATCAATACTCGGTTACTTTATAATCTCAGATTTAGTTAAGTTCCTGGGATATAGGCTCATTTAAATATGTCAGTATCTTGTATCTTGTATCTTCTTATAGTGAAAAAAAATCAAATGGTAGTAAATTTTCAACAAACTAAATCCAAACATTTTCCATTATTTTGGCTTAGGGGAAATCTGCATAAGGAATAATAACTTCGTGAATTAAATGTTAGTAAAATATTTTAATTTCCTGCTGCCTTTGACCTTGATGAATGTCACACACAATCCCCTCTTGCCATTATGATGGGTATTTGAAATGGAAAATCTATTTCATTTGTGTAAGATTTCAGTCTCTGACTTGAAAAACCTCAGATGCGTAGACTGTGTGTGTATGCCTGACTTCAGTACTCTGAAGTCTCACCTCTTGTCAATGAAAACTGACGTCAGCGAACTAATTGGCTTTTCTTGTGCGTAGGTACCCTGACATGCCCACCGCAGCTGATGTTGTGAACGCTTTAGATCAACAGGCACTTGCCTCCATCCTGAGAACATACGGGGAGGAGAAGCATGCCAAGAAAATCGCTTCAGCAATCGTTCAGGCTCGCAGCCTCTACCCCATCTCCAGAACCCAGCAGCTTGCCAGCATCGTTGCAGGTACCCTCATTAATTCTGAACAGTGTCTCAGAGGAAAAAAAAACAACACTAATATATGTGTGTGTGTGTGTGTGTGTGTGTGTGTGTGTGTGTACACACACACACACACACACACACACACACACACACACACACACACATATACACATATCCTCCAAACTCCCAGAGGGATTCATTTGTACTTAAAATCATTCAGGATAGAATCTTGCCTATCTTTCTCTCTATATCAGCTTTCTTTTGGTTCTGCAAGCTTCCCTCCCCCAGCACCTCTCCCCATACAATTTAAGAAAATATACTATAGTTGCCAATTAGTTGAACAATAGATTGTTTTTTCATGAGAGGTAATTTATCATTGTGCCTACCAAGGTGCAACATGGATTGGTGAAAGCAGAATTTCTTGATCCATCACAGTGGTTGATAAGCATTCTGTATAAGATCTGACATTACCTCTCTTAGTTTCACATTTCTGCATTTTAATATTTTGGGCAAAAGGAGAATTGCATTGCCCAACTGCTAAAATAAGATCTAGTGACTCATACATCTATTCTAAACAACCAGCTAACAAAGGGTATGTGATGTATAGGTTATTCTACTTTGTGAATGCTAACTAAATCAGCCTGAGGGGCTTATTGAAACATTTCATCTTTTCTTCTGTTCACCACCATAAACCTCTTGAACTTAAGTCTAGCTAGGAGGCGCTTTATTGTAGCCTTTCTGTTTGAAGCCAAAGTTGTTTCACAGCTGTGTTCCATGATGAAAGTTTTCCAAGGCAAAAATACAACTCCTGCAGTTATTTAACAGAATTCATGTTACATTCTTTGTCTTGTGGGCCATCTGAAACCCTACATCATTTTTATTTACCAAATGTATTAGGATTTCTTTCCCATGGCTCCTATTAAGTTACCTAAGTAGCTAAAGAAGTGGAGAAAAATAAATAATTGTATAACTTGTAAAAAGAACCTGATATTGGTTGCCTCTAATCTTAATATTATCTATAATTTAAGGAATAAAGCTTGATTATAAATTCATTCAGATCAAGATTTAGAGATCATATAGCAATTGTTTTATGACATAACTTAATAAGACTATATTTTACTTAGTTAGAATAATAAAATATAAAGAGTTGACCAAGTCTTTAAATGTTTTAAGCTTTATATATACCTCAAGGCCCTTCCAACTTACCACTGAGGTTCCTTTAGGCAACTAAGAGCACAATTCTTGTGGGTTAGATGATCATAAAATATGCCATTGTATTTGTTTCCCAAAAAGAGTTTGTACTAGTAGGCTGCATTAATTCATGCTCTGTCTTGTGTCCCTTTCTTTCCATCCCATACTCACTAAACATTACCACCTTACCTTACCTTTTTGTCATGATTTAACTAGCTATATGTGTTGTTCTCTGTCTCCCATATGGAGATGATGACAGTGAAAAGTCACATTTTTTATTCATAAGAAAATCCAGAATTTTCTGGTGCTGAAAATGAAGACTAGGGCTGAGGGCAGTCAGCCAATCAAAACCTCATCTGATAACTGAAGAAACTGCGCCTCTGAGAGGGTCAGTAGTATCCTCGAAGGTATACAGCCTAATTAATGACAGAGTCTGTACTAATCTAGAATCAGAGGCATAACTGGGTATTTTTGCCTTTAAGATATTAATTTTTTGGTCTCAAGGTCCTAATCTTCGAACTTGGGGTACTAACACTGTGGCATTACAGAGAAATTATATCAAGATGTAGAATAGAAACAATTTAAGTACTTTCAGAAAGATTATGATGTGAAAAACGTATTAGGGCTATGACAAATGATATTGTAAAAGTGAGAATATTCATATATGTGTAGGCTTTAATAAATGCCATTAAAAGATTGAGTTCCCCATAATGAGTCCATTTTTATAGTTCAAATCAGCCCATAATACTACAACTTTATTGATGATGGTATAATTCTGTAGAAAAGGAAAAAACATAAAAAAAACAGTTTGCATTTTATGCTCATTCATTCACAAAATATTTTGGAAGAGGCTGGTATATACCAGGCATTATACTGAGTACTAATGAAAAATGGGTCAGAGGTGACTAGATTAAAAAATGGTAATAGTAAACAAGGTTTTTCTACTTATAGTGGAAACCCTCTTATTGTTGTAGTCTGAAGTTATGATTGTGTGGGTAATAGAAAGAGTTGGTACATGGAGAGAATTTATAGAACCTATCCATATTTATATATATGGAGATGCTCAGGTCCTAATTGCAGTTCCACAAAGTCCATTCTTACATAAACCATACCCATGGCATACCTTCTACAAGCGCTGATTTTATTTTTATTAAAACGAACTTAGAGTTCAAAGGTACTTACAAAGCAATCTGAGCATATTTTCTAGATTTTCTTAATTTTCTACATTTTCATAATTTTTTAAATCTTTCATAATTACCTCACCTACATCTAATTTGATTGCATTTTTTACATGACTTATCTTTATTAAGACTCTCCAAAGTCTCCAATTTACTTTTCATGGGAACAGCAGATGTCTTTCCTTTTGCATTCATATTTCACCAGTTTATGTAATATTTGATTGAATTATTTAATGGCAATAGTAAGTGCTCTTGGCTTACAGCTCTTTTGGTGGGAGCAGGACTGTATAGGAACATTCGAGAGTAAAATACCATGCTGAGACAGTTTAACAGAGAAAGGGATTAATCTGTCAAGTCCATTAAACAGAAGTCTCTTAAGAGAGCTAATTCATGAAGGAAATATGGGAAACAATGGAGGGCCCAGGAAGGTTCCTCTATTAGTTTCATTTCCTAGTGCTGTATTAATAAAGTACCACATATTTGGTGGCTTAAAATAACACAAATTTATTCTTTCACAGTTCTGGAGGCCAGAAGTCCTAAATGAAGGTATCAGCAGGGCTCTGGGGGAGAATAGCTTCCTCCTTGACGCTACCTTGTGTCTGGCACTTGCCAATAATCCCTGGTGTTCGTTGGCTTGTGTATGCATCACTGAGTCTCTGCCTCCACTCTCACTATCCCCATACATGTTTTTTGTGTCCAAATTTATCTTTAGTATAAAGACACCAGTCATATTGGATTTAGCGCCTACCCTAATAGAGTATGTCCTCAACTTGATTATATCTGCAAGGACCTTATTTTGAAATAAAGTCACGTTCACAGCTTCCTGGTAAACACAAACTTGGGGGGACACTATTCAAGCTGGTACAGCTCCTAAGCAATATCTTTATTTAACAAACATGTATTTTTGTCAAGCTATAATATGCTGTGACTATATTTGGACATCTTTTCTGGTTCTAATAAATTCATGCTAAATATGTTCAAGATTATCCAGGCACTCTGGGAAATATGCCACAGTTCCTGACACATTGTAAAACCCATATATTGATGGAAATATAAATCATTCCCCTTGCTTTCAAAAAGCTAATAATCCATTAAGGACAAGGAAGACCACCACACTTGTAATCACAATATAATTAGTGGGATTATATAATAATTCAAGTAAGTAAGTTGTAATTTGTAGAACCTAGAGCCTGGTGCATTTCACTAGTACAAATGAGTATACTCCAGTACTCTTCCATATCCTATCAGCACCAGAAGACAGATTCAGGGCTGCAAATTGAGGCAGGAAACTTATAACTACCATGGATTACTTTGTAAATTACCAAATTAGTAATTTATAATTCCAAAAACGACCTGTGGGACTTCACTATTCATACACACTATTCAGAACTGCTAGGCAGAAATTTCAATGTTAATATGTCACACATGTTAGATAGTGTTCCCTCCAAAAATAATTTATAAATAACAAGTCACATTTTGTTAAGCATAGTTTCTATTCTAATGTAGTTATAGCTGAAAAATTGGATTTATGAAATTTAAGACTTGAAAATGGCCTGAGGGACTAATTTAATGTAGAGCCAAATTCTTCATTACCTCTAATAAGTGGTCATCTTGCATTTTAGCCTTTTCATCTCCATCTATCTTACTCCCCCCTTGTATTTCAGTGAAGAGGAGCACATTTCAGTCTGAAATTGCTAGTTCCATAAATAGAGGCCTTAAGTCTTTAGAAAGGATGAATTCCTTAGAATAAAGTCCAAATTCCTTTACATGGCTTGCAAAGCTTTTCATGGACCGGTTTCTACCTTTTCGTTTTCATCTCTGTTGCTTCTCCATAGTAATCTCCGTTCCAGCCATGCTAGAGTCCTGATGGTCGTGTCTTTCCGGCACACCACAGTCCCTCTACTCCAGGCCTTGGATATTATTAACATTAACACTAGAGTGCCCAACCCCTATCCTCTCCTGTGGTTAATGCCAGCTCATCCTTTTGAGCTTTAGTTAAAAGTGTCACTTCCTCCAGGAAGGTTTTTCTAGCTCTACACAGATTAGTTAGTTGAGGTGTTCTCCCACATGCTCCCCATAGTACTGAATTTCCCTGCCGAAGCACTGACACTGTTGTTATTGCTTTCTATTTAACTTCTCCCCTAGACCTATACTATCTAGTACACTTCCCAGTAGCCACATGTGTCTTTGGAATTCTTGAAATGCGGCTGCTCCTAATTGAGAGGTCATATATGTAAAATACACACCTTAGTTTGAAAAAAGAATTTAATGTATCTCAAAAATTTATATGTTCATTCTATGTTGAAATGGTAACATTTTAGAAATTATCGAGTTACATACAGTATTAAAATTAACTGTACCTGTTTCTTTTTACTTTTTTAACATGGCTGTAGAAATTTTTAAATCACACATGTAGATTGCATTATATTTCTATTGGATGGCGCTGCTCCAGATACTAAGCACTGTGAGGGCACTGCTGTGACTCTTTTACTCATCAGGGTGTCCCCAGCACTTATCATAATTTTGGCCCTTGGAAGACATTTGGTAAATGCTTTTTCAAGGTTAATTTATCAAATAAAGAAAATCACATAGATCCAGGAAGGTTCTGCTTTTATACAGTTGGTATTCAGTGAAATAACATCAATGTTAGTAAAA